TCACTCTCTCACTCTCACTTTCTCTCCCCTCCTTTTCCCCCCACCCACCCCCTTCTCTAAAATATATATTCCTCTGTTAGATTTCACTAGATTAAGTTGCTGACAGTTCATCAGTAGCAGCAACAATGTAATACCCCTAACCTTATTAAATCAATAAATACTAGATCCATGCATTGAATTAAAAATGCATCAGCAGGTCCAGGAATTGCAATCATATGGCCATGGACCTCAGAATTGAAGATGCCACTCAAAAATTGACTAGTTTGCATTTATTTAACCTTTTCTTTTTTTTCTGTTTTGGATCTGTGATTAAATATTTTGGGCTTTTAATATTTTAGGGACTATTGTGACAGGTTTGATTCTGTTTATTTTTTGAAAATTCGTTTCTTTCACTAACTTCTCACATTTAACCATGAAAGAGATGCATGTATTTAACAATAGTAGTACACTGTGACTTTATAGTTCTTGTCATTAGTTTTCATCTAGGGAATATACTTTCACTCAGAATACATTATTCGAGGAAGATACACTCAGGTGCATACATTTCTACATAAGAACAAATAAATTTAGATGAATATGTTTTTGTATATAAATAAACAAATATAGTCAGTGTAAGTGTATTGCTGTACATTGATTATGAGTTTATTTTTAAAAAAACCCACATTTAAATTTATCTTTCATTGCCTATTATAACCCAGAGAGCTATTTATCATGATAAAACAAGTTATTTATTTATAATCTGGTAGGCTTGTTAGAATTTATACCATGAGAGATGGAATTAAAGTGTTCATGTCTTTAAACTTAACACAGTACTTAGCAAGTTATACATATCTTACACTTCAATGTGGTTTACCAGGAATTGGCAGTTAAGTTGTAGATTAGTAGATGAATTCACAGTTAGTCCCTACTGAAAACACAGAATGTGTTTAAGACCTAGAAATTTAATGGAAAAAGTGATATTACTCTAGCCAGATATTTGTTCATACTGATTAATGATGCTAATTATTTTAAAACATTCATCCCCTCTTGACGTCAGCCAGCATATATGGTACTGAATTCTGAAGATACAGTCATCAGGCCTTAGGTTCACCACACTGTGAAAGAAAAAAATCTTTATTTGATGAAATAGGCAATCAAGTGAAATCTATCCTCTTTAAATAAACTGATTCCTCAGTATTTTCCCAGTGTTGGTGTAAGTTGTTGTCTGTGATGTCCCCCAGGGCTCTTTCCTCTGCTCTCTGATTTGGTATATAAAAGCAGCTCTGAATGATGGATTACTGTGTCATTGCAGCCTGCGAAGGATTAATTTATTTCATTGATTTCTCTTTAGGCAAATTGCCAGAATTTGCTGCTTCCCACCTTTCTGCAAGACTTCTAGAAGTAATAGTAATAGCCTAAGACAAATCAGCTCCTTCACCTAAAAACAGAATCATGAAACTAGGAATCCTACAAAAGCTATGGCAAACTTTTTATTCACATATTGGGAGAGCAATTAATAGGCTACTTAATATGCTTTAGAAATATTTTTAATTGAAAAATTTCCTGACTTTGTGACTTAAAACACCTCATATTAATAGCTCTTAAGTAAGCATTTGTAATGTTTGTCCCATAAGTTTTCTCTAATTTGTAAGGAAAAGAATGTTTAACTCAGGAAAAAAATGTGATGTCTATGTGAGTGACAAATATTTTTCTTTCTGTACCAGATTTTAGGATCAAATAGGATGTCAACATAACTTTTAAGTCCATTAAACATTTATAAGAGTATTTGACCCAAAGAATTGTTAGAAACTTTGGACAAGTACAGAGAGTATTAGAGCATGGAAATAGAATTGTTTAACTGTTTAAAGAAAAAGTATCTTTTTCTGATTAAAAAAGTAGTATCTGTTCATAATAATTTGCAAAAGTTAGATATGATATTTTGTGTGTTAAGACTTTTTCCTCCAAATTTTTATATATATATGTGTGTGTATGTATACACACACACACACACACACACACACACACACCCCATAGATATAAACTGTGTCCTGCTTTTCTTCAGTTGGCATTATGCAATGAAAATTTTCCTATATAATTAAAATTATCATTAAAGTCATTTATATCTCTGTATACTGTTTTAACATATATGATTTAATTAATCATTGTTCTACTGTTAGAGAGTTAGGTTTCTAATTTTCCATTATTATAAATAAAGTTATAGAGAATAGCACTTAAATCTTTTATCATCTCTCTGGTTAATTTCCTTAATATATTATTAGAAAAGAAATTACTTGGATTGAGGCTATAGACTGTTTTTTAAGAGTCTTGATATGAACTGCCAAATTGTTTTTCAGAAAGGTTCTTCCATCTTATACTGATACTGTTTAAAAACTGTTCTCTGTAGAGGCAGCATTCTAATGCATGATACACGAGGAAAGAAAACAGAACAACACTCTTTTCTTTGTGCTCTGAAAGCAGTGGTAACATTTTGCATATACTTAGTCTCTCAGAAGTATTTTCCCAACCGCAGATGTGAAATAGGCTGGCTATATAAATCTATTTGTTTCCCTTCTGTAGTGCTGAAAATTATATTGATTTAATGATCTCAAGTTCTACTTTTTATGCAATTAGTTGTGTAGTAAAAACTAATATCATGTCATGTGCTAACGTCTTTTTTCCTCTATTGTGCTATGGTAGTAGTCCATGCAATATCAGCAAGTTTATGCTTTTCCTGTGCTTTGCTGAAAGGAAAAAGGAACATCTGTTTCCATTATATATCTGCATCATAATGATAACAGTTAAATAGCTATTATGGTAGAATACAGTAAATATATTTCGTTGAATGACCTGTACTTTCTTGTTGGAAAATTTCAGAGATTTCAGAGACACTTAGTTTTTACAGGTAGGTTCCATGTAGAGGTTTAGAAAGGCCTTTGCTTACTTTTGGTAAACCACTGCAGCTCCTATTTGTCTCATTAAAAACAAATAAACAAAGAACTGTGATGATTAAACACTTGGCTCTCAGGTGAGACTCAAATATATTTCTCTTAGGCATATGTTTAGAGTACAGATTATTGGCTATTTCTCTCTGTTCTTAAATGGGTTAATCATGCTATTAAAAATATAGTTCATTTTGTGTTTTGTGTGATTTGTGTATTTTTAATGTTTTACTAAGCCAGAGATTGCAAATAGTTATATATATATATATATACTTACAGCCTGTTTTACCCTTTTTTCCTTATGTTAGGGGACATAGGGATATTTACCTCTTAAGCTCAACAGGAGAATGTTTGAAACCACACAGTATTTCCATGGACCTTTAAAATTCCAGAGAAATGTTTTCATTTATTTCACTCAGACTTTGGTTAAAGATGTTTTAGTGGTTACTTAAGAAATGATTAGAAAATATTCTAGACAAAGAATGGTATATAAAGAGAAACAAACACCCATGTACTCCAAACTCAATTTCAGAAATAAAATGTTACCAGAACAATTGAAGCTCTTCCTGATTATATTCCCTTATGGCTTCTTGAAGAGATAATCATCATCCTAAATTTGATAATTATCAACCCTTTTGCCTTTTATGTACTTTTTTTTACATGGTTTAAAAATCTGACATAAGTGACTTGTCATTTTAAACAAATAAATTTTAAAATGTTGGAGCTGCAATAGCTGTTAGAACGCTTTTAATCTAATCGCCTGTGACTGGGTATACTTCTCTGCTTTACTGTCCTCATCTGTGAAGTTGGGGATAGGTTTACGTGTTCTCTGATATTTTTCTAGCCATAATTTTAAAAAGTTTTTTGAGTACCTCTCGTTTTCCATATGAAACAATAAAACAAAAGACAGAGGCCCAGAGTGGTTAACTAACTTTCCCAAGACCGTGTAGGTAAATCACAGAGCTGGGAATAAAAT